ACCAGCAGCGGCTGACTCGGGGACGCCTGGGGCAGAGCCGGACTATTGAAAGAGGGGGGCTATGAGGGGTCTAGGGTGGCATCCCCCACCCCACCTCAGACCCCTCAAAGTCCCCCCTTCTGATAATCCGGCATATGTAATAATCCGGCATCCCCTGGGTCCTAAAGGTGCCGGATTATCGGAAGTTTACTGTATGTAGGAACATGCTACTGGATTAGCTTCCAAGTAATGTTAAATTACAAAGCTCTTGCTTTGTTGGGTGAACCTCTATTTCCTTGTTATTCTCCTATAATAACAATAAAGATTCTCTTCATTGTCCCCTCTACTTTTAAGATTCATTGCTTGCAATTTCCCATTAGCGATGTATGTGGAAAGCTGTGCAGCAGAATGATGAATTTCTTTCGTAGTAATTTTCTTAGTTACCAACTTCTCTCATTCAGCCTATCCTGGTATTTGGTAAATGACCAGAATTACAATTTTTTTCTTTTAAGGGATACTTGGGCATATATATAAATGACTTTAATATAATTGGATACCAAGTTATCTTAATGATAGTTATCTGTTGATGGGGTATTTCTGAAGCTTTGAAGAACTATTCTGGTGATCTGAGCAGAAGATTGGGCTTAGTTCTGGAGTCTCAAGCAACAATACTAGAATACTTCTACATTTTACAAGTGGCAGGTCTTGCCCATTAGTGGTGAATAAGGAGGAGAGAAGCTGCTAAGAGAAGATTGTCAGATAATATACTTTTCAATCTGTTCAGCTAACATGGCTGGTTACTGAGTGCAAAGAAGTGTGGCCTAACAGATTCACAACTGCTGTTTAATTTGTAGCGGCTTTCTTGTTCCCTCATCCTCTGTGCTCCCATATAGTCTCATTTAATTATGATGCCCAGTTTATGTACAGTTTTTGTAAATCTTTATAATTTTTGTTGTTCTTCTCTGGTCTCTCTCCAAGTTGTCCACATCTTTCATAAAGTGTCATCTCCCCAGAATTGGATCCAGTACTCCAGCTGATGCTTCACTTGTGCAAAGTAGAGTGAGACTATTATGTCTCATGTCTTGCTTATGACTCTTCTGTTAATGAACCCCAGAATATTAGGGGTTTTTTGCAACTGTTACATTGATGACTCATATTCAATGTGTGATCTAGTGTAACTCTCACATCCATTTCAGCAGTACAGTACTTTCACCTTGCCCATTATTCCCCATTTTGTAGTTGTGCAATTGATTTTTCCTCCCTGACTATTGTACTTTATAGAATTTCATCTTGTTGATTTCTATCAATTTTCCAATTTGTCACGGTCATTTTGATTTGTAATTTTGTCCTTCAAGTGCCTTTACTGCAAACTTCCCAAAGCTGCTGTTGTCTGCAAATTTTATAAGCGTATTCTCCACTCCGTTCTCCAAGTCGTTAATGAAAATATTGAATAGTATCAGACCCAGGATTATAAAAAGTTTCTTTCATGTTAGCAAATATTTTAAGTTTCTTCAGTATTTGTTTCACAGCTTTAAGGAAATAATCATTGAGAGTTCTTATCCTTCTGTCACTGAGTTTTACTTTATCATAGTGTTCTGTGATAATATCCTCCAAACTATATAGCTAAATTATTCAGAACATACCTTTTAAGTTTTGTTACATCATTCAATAGGCACTGTTCAGTTTATTTCAGGAGCCTTCCTATGTTAATTCTTTACTCCTGTATGCCCCCATAGAGTCTCTCCTATGTAGTTTGAATCAAAGTGGTAAATTAGGATTTTTTTAAAAAGTTGTAATGTCCTGTTCTTATACATACATGCATGTAGGTGTTTGTCAACTCTTCAAATTCAAACATTTAACTCCGGAGTGTGCTGAGTTTTTCAGTTCTTTAATTTAAATTATATATTAAATATTTCCTGTGTCCAGACCTTATGTGTAGCTATGGAAGACTATTGAGTAAAATAATAGATTGTATAAATTTAAAACCTTGACAAGAATAAGCAAATGTTAATTACAACATTTTTATTTAGATTATTTTCTGTTCATTGTTCTGGTGTGTTTTAATAATGTATTTATTAGTCATTAAAACTCTAATCCAGTGTAGTAACTTGTAAATGAATTTAAAATTCTAAATGTTTTTTGTTCATAGAATTGTGTATTGTCTATGTATTATTTTCTCCTTGTTGATTGCTTTACATGATTTGTGTCTGTAAACCAAAACATTTTATATTGGAAGATATCCCAGTTGTTAAATTTACTATATACACAGGAAAACATAATTTTAAAAAATTGGTTAAGAGATTTTCACTGCTGTTTGCTGAGAGTATAGTCATACGGTAGCATTGTTTAATTTTTTTTTGTAATATTAACAATGGTTTAAGTGGTAAATAATAGTCACCACTTTGGCTCTTTATTTTTATTTGAGAGAGGACTGATTTATGAATCATATATATAGTTTTGAAAACTTTTGTGTCTACAATATTTAAAGGACTGTTATTTAGTTAACTGTGCTATTTTGCATTTAAATACAAAGGGGCATGTGTGTGTTCACTTATGGAAAACATAAAGTAAACAGCTCTTATGTTTATTTCCTCACAGTATGAGATCCAAATTAAATCACATTTCTTAAGCTAAGCAGAATACTTTTGGAACATAGTCACTGTAAGCAAAGGAGCTCTGTCATAGTTGAAACTGAAGGAGAAGCCTGTTTTACATGGTTATATAGTTCATTCCTCTGAAATTCTGGCTTCCAGAAGTTTATAGAGCCTCAATATTTAAAACTGAAGATTCAACTATAGTATTCAGTCTACTGTAAATAGTATGCATGTTGTGATGGAAAAAGCTCCAGAAATAGATACATTAATGTGTTTTATTGAATGCTGTAACGCATCTCTTTTTTTCTCCAGAAAATTGAAAATGGAAGATTTGCAAAACTCAGATATATTGCACATGCCATGGTTAATAATACAGATTTGTTAATGATAACAAAAAGGTAAAAGATTTTCTTTTTGAATAGTAGTAAATATAATAATATGGTAAAATGTACTGGTTGGACCTCCCTGATCTGGCACGCTCGGGACCTGAACCATCTCAGACAAGGGGAGTTGAATGCTCCACTGCTGGCTGCCCTGCTGCCGGCTCCTTTTCTTTGGGCTCTCAAGGCTGGAGTTTCCCGCACTGCTGCTGTCACGCTAACTCTGGCCCGGCCGAGGCTCCCCAACTGCTGCTCCCAGTGGTTCCCCGCCACTGCTGGCCCCATTACCTCCAGGAGTTCCTCGGTGTTTCTTGACCCTGAGGCCACCCAGCCACTACCTGCCATGCTGCTATGGGCCAGCTACCAGGGGGTTCCCAGCCAGGGTCGCTCAGCCACCGCCAAACCCACTGCCGCCGGAGGTACCTGCAGTTTCCTAGCCGGGGCTGGCCACAGCGGATTCCCCTGCTGGGGCCGGGACTCCTGACTTCTGCCTGGCCTTGCTGTTGGGGCTCCTGGGTCACTGTATGGCCCTGCTGCCACCAGGGAATTCTCAAGGTTTCCTGGTCGGAACTGCTTTGGCCACCTGATCCCACTGACACTGGGGGGTTCCCCAGCCAGAGCCAAGGGTCCTAGACGCCAGCTGACATCATGGTTCCCCTGCCAAGCTGCTGCTGGCCCAACCGGGACTCAGCAGACCCACTCTCCTGGGGCTCTTCAATCCAGCAACATCCGTGGCCTTGCTGGACCATAGAATCCCAGATTTGAGAGGTTCAAAATGAACCACCAAACTGTTTGAGCAATAATTCTTTTAGATATAGTAGCTATTTTTATCATTTTAAGTATGTGTTTATACATAGACATATATATGCACACACAATGGATTAAAAAAAGTGTCTGGTATCCTATTATCTGTGACGACTCCATTGCCAGTTTGGCAAAGAATATATTATCGTACTAGCAGGTAATGCCCATCATTGACCGGACAAAGTCATTTTGCATAGATTACACTTATAGGAAAATTCAAGAAATTAAATATATATAATAGAATTTTTTATTAATGTGCTTGCAAAAAGTAAGTAAAAGAACAGTTTTAAATTTGTAGGATTTCGATTGCAAACATTTATTTTCTTGAATAATTACCATACATAGTAAATTTGAATCAGAAACTCATAAAGCTTCCATTCCTCTTTCCGTAACTAATTTGAATTATTTTGTGATTTATAGCATTAACATTTTCTTTGCACGAAATTGACAGTTGAATAGGCAACTCGAATTTAATTTTGTTAGCAAATATTTTTATGAAATCTAATCTGATTAAAAACAAAAATAATTAAACCTTTCACCTAACATATTCCAGTGTAAAAAGTAGTGTATTAAGCTAATTTAAGTGGCAAGATTGTTTATGCAAAATTGGGTATCTGTAGGTAATCGCAAAGTATGACTCCATTTTACACAAACAAATCCACAAACTAACTAACTTTTCAAAATATGATAGATGCCTCACGGGTATAACTTCTATAATCCAAGGATGACTAATTTTCATTCATGTTTTCCATAACTGAAACAGATAAATTGTGTATTTAGTCTGTATGAAGTCAGTAGGATTCTGTATGGACTCAGGCATCCACTTGTGAAAAACACATTGCAGGACTGAGATTTAAATAATGATACTCAGTAATAAAGGAATGGAATTTTCTTTGCGACTCAGAAATATTTAATAATGGAGCATAAATCATTTCCATTTTTCTGTCTAGGGACTGCTTTTCTCCAGAGAATGTCAAGTTAGAAGTAAAGTTGCTGCTTTGGCATAAGAAAAATGCTGATAGATGCTATCAGTAAGCTATAGGAACCTGCAGAATTTAGGAATTTAGTACACAGGGACAATCAGGAAAATATATATGAATTAACTAAAGTGTGAATTAAAAGTGTGTTAATTAAACCCACTAAACCTCTATTTGGATGCTATTATTTAGAATTTTAGTAGTCTTAATTTTGTTTACATTAATTCACCTCCAAAGTAAATTATGCTAAGATGAATTAAAAGCCACTTCAATTTTAATCCACACAGGGGTTTAATGTCATTTAACTAATGCACTTTTAAAGTTAATTTGGGTTAACTTTCTTGAGTATCCCTGTATAGACAAGCCCCAAATCTTTTAAAAAATCATGCTATGTTGGTTGTTGTATGTATCTTAACTCGTGAGAGACAATTTGAAATGAAATCGTTTCACTGCACTGTCATTTAGACTACGTCTAGACTACATCCCACTGTCAGCAGAGGGATGTAAATGAAGCACTTCGAAAGTGCAAATGAAGTGAGGATTTAAATATCCCATGCTTCATTTGCATAATCCAGTAATGGTGCTCTTTTGAAATTGAAACCACAGTCTAGAGGCGGTTCTTTCGAAAACGGGGCATTTTTTCAAAAGATCCTGTAAACCTCAGTCTAGACTGCGGTTTCAATTTCGAAATAGCACTTTTTCAAAAGAGTGCCATGACGTGATTATGCAAATGCAGCATGGGATATTTAAATCCCCGCTTCATTTGCATTTTCGAAGTGCTTCATTTACATCCCTCTGCCGACAGAGGGATGTAGTTTAAACACACCCTTAGTTCCTAATTTCTTTAGTGGCAATGAGGAAGTATTTAATACCTTTTTATTTTCTGCCTCCATTTTCATTTCTGCCTCATGTTTATGTTTTACTCTTGCTAGTGGTGTTTTGTTTGTGACAAAAGGAACATTTGGACAGCTGACATGTGAGTGGCAATACACTTATGATGAGTTTACCAAAGAGCCATTCATTGTTGATGGAAGAAGATTACGCATTGAAGCCAAGGTAGGGTAAATGCCTATTGAATGAAATGTAAAAGTATGATTTATTTTTTTCATTCTGAAGTTCTTTTGACATCTTTACAGGAGGTAGCTCAGATTTGTCTATGAGCTTGATCATATCCCAGACTAACTCACGTCCAATGAGTGGATCAGAATGTTAACTCAGCTTTTCCAATTTATTTTTCAATTCCCAGTTTTTAAAAGTCAGTTTTGGGCAGTAACAAGGGAATTTCCTTGTCCACATTCACCCATGTTGGTTTTTTTGTTTGGTTGGGGGGTTTTTTGGTGGTGGGAAGGGTTTCAGCTTCCACTCAGACACTTTTCTTCTGTGTGGAAAATGTTTATTAAAATAAATAAGTAACATCTTCACAGGTAGTATTTCTAGCCTACGCAGACCACCTGCACATCTCTTTTCATATGTTCCTGCCCTTGCTCTTCATATGGTAAACCAGTTGTATCTGCCAAGATATGCATTCAAGAATTACATAGAAAGAGCTCTGCAATAATTGTTTCCAACTCTGTGGATCCTCAGTCAGCCAGAGAAAAGAGGCTTAGGACATATCTACCCTGAAATGTAAGCTTGAGATTAGTGAGTCTCGAAGCAACTGGCTTCACAAAGTTGGGGTTACTTCAGTTTCCCTGGAGTTGATTGAAGATTTTTGGGATAGAGAGGACAAAGAAAATTGTTGATATTATATGGTAATTTTAGTGGGCTCTCAGGGCCCAAGTCAGAGGTAGGAGGGATGGTGTATCTACACTGTAAAGAATAGTGGTTGAACTCTAGGTCCCGTTTTGTCTGGGTGAAACTCACACCCCTGCAAGGTCCTAGAACCTGAGGTCTGAGTCCAAGTCTCAGGGACTTGTGGTAGATGGAAGGGGGCTCAAGTTGGAGTTGAGCTCAGTCTTATATTGCAGTATAGATATGCACTTAAAGAGTCCTTACAGCTTCTTGGATTCCTACATCTCCCGCCTATATATGCTAACATTCCTTTGGAAACACTGTAGTAAGAGAGGGTCACAACTTTCTAGCACCTGGGACACAACAGGAAGGTCTGTTTTTCAAGATTAGAGTTTTATTTGGGTAAATCCAAACACCCTCCCTAAAACCCCGGCACAAGAATTACTTGGCAAAGGGTCTGGTATTCTCTTCCTAAGAAGAGTGGAAATTGAAAGAAGATTTGAACTCACTCAGGAATACCTTTTTTTACTCATCTGAATGTCTAACAGTAAAGGACATAGGAATGTAATCTCCCCTCCATGGACAAGCAGCAATGAGGAAGAGGAATGAATCCTAAAATAGAATTCTCTAAGAAAGTGAGACCATGCATGAAAAATAGCTCCAGTGTGCATTAGTTCTCATGTAGTTCACATCATGCAATTATTATATAGAAAAATTTAGCACATCAAATGCTTTTAATTAACTCGCCTGTTCTAGATAGTTGATTATTCTATAGATATATAGATGTTTAAAATGATAGACATACAGTGCATTAAACAGAATGATGTTGTAAAGTAAGGTTTGTAGTTAAAAATTTGTTTGAGTAGACTGCTCTTTAAAAGGTCTTTCTTGTAGAGCAAATCTTCTTACTATATATTTTAGAAATGTGTCTGTCTGTCTGTCGGAGTCCATTTGTACAAAAAACCCTCCTAAATGGTCAGAGCTAGGATCACCAAATATAGTATTCAGCTTCCTTTTATCATAACTTAAAGCAAGGTCATGGTTTGGTTGTGCCAAGATAATGGAATGTGTGTGGAATTCAGTTGTTTCTTATAAAATGTAAAGGGAGGGATCTGTCAGGAGAGAGTTTATTCTGCGGAATGACCAGAGGGGGACAGAAGGGGACCAGAGATGGGGACCAGGACAGCTATAACTGCGTTGGGCCCGGAGGGCGGAGAAAGGAACAGCTACCTACCATATACGTGTGTGTGTGTGTGTGTGTGTGTGTGTGTCTCTGTCTGTCCCTCAGTTGGACATACATGCCTACCCTGGCAATGCCCACTGGAGCTGCAGTGGCCATGATGGACAGGAGCTTATCACCTGAACCCAAGCTGTTGCAATGAGAGAGGGCTGGGTATACCTCTGTCTCTGGGGCAGCCTCCACACTGAACCTCTCATTGCCAACCCCATTCCAGAACAATGATTTAAATTAAGAAAAAACTTATTTGAGTTGAAGATCTGAGCAATGCCAGGTGCATCTTCTAGTAAGAGTATAAAGATTCATTAGCTTCAGAAAAACTGAGGTAATATAATTTAAACTTGTTTGTTTTGTAGGAACGCGTTAAGTCTGTATTCCATGCCAAAGAGTTTGGAAAAATAATTAATTTTAGGACTCCAGAAGATGCCAAGGTAAAAACAAACAACTACTATTTAAATTATAACAACACAGTACTTTACTTGGGTGAAAAGCCTGGCTTCATAAGAACATTGACATGTGAAATTTCTCCCATGAATGATTCTCCATCAATGATAATTGTAAATCAAGATTGTATGTATTTCTGAGAGAGAGGGGCTATAGGAATTTGTATTAGAAAGTTCTATGGCCTGTGTTTCACACAGACTAGATTATCACACTGTGTTTTTTGGCCTTGGAATTTGGGAGTCCTCAATTTACAGATGGGGAAATGGAGTCACAGAGCAGCACACAACTCCAGCCCTATTTATTTATCTGACTTGACCTCTTATCAGCCTTGATAGACTTTTTATCTTTCTCCCAGGACACTTTAATCTCCTTTTTTATCATACTTCTCACGATACAAGCAATGCCTTTCCCACTCCTATCTGCCATGCCAGTACCTTTGCACTTAAACCTTTCTAAAAACTTATTTCTCTACACTGTGTTGACTTATTAGTATATTTATTTTCCTAATTTTAAAAAACAACCTAATTGTTGAAAACAATTTTGACAGAACCACAACATGTTTGTGCTTAAACAAACAATATGATCATATTGCAGCATGATTCAATTTTTCTGATTCCATCCTCTTTCGACTGTTTGTCATCCTCTCTCCGTCACCTCTTAACTTTAATTGTAATTGTTTGGTGGAGGGATCATGTCAGTCTCTGTTCTGTTACTTGCCTAAAATGATTGGATAATATAAATGAACAGTAATGTTTCTCCAGCATATATGCAAAACAGTGATGATTATTACTTTTCTAAAATATTGTTGTTCATATAGGACACCCAGACACAGAAGCCTAAAATTGGACTGTCCAGGTAATATCCAGACAGGTGGCAACCTTATCCGCAGATTAGGACATTGGAATCTTATTTTAGCATTAGTCTTATGTGTTGTCACGTGAAAGAGTGGAATTTGAACCTCAGTCAGTTTCTCTGAGACCAGAAAGAGAAATACTATTGATAGATTATGATCTTTGCATTATGTTAAGATTTGATTAGACCCGGTATTAAATGATGACATGTCTGGCCATTCCAGCCAAATGTTCTACTGCATGGCACACTTTTTACTAAGGGGACTTTTTTTTTCTCTTAACTGCCACAGTGGATCCTTTCTAAACTGGAAGAAGCAAGAGAAAGTCATCCGAAGTTGTAATTTCTGGAGAAGCACCAAGACACCGAAAACATGGAATGTGCACTTTTGGCTGTTGCGTTTTAATTGGTGTTTAACATGTGAAAGTGATTGCCAGCAAAAAAAGAGGAGAGTTTGTAGAAGCCTTTATTGTAATAGCTTCATTCTGCCTATATAATATATAATCATAAGCAAATTTTAATTGAGTAGTCAGTCAGTGTCAGGTTAAATAGTCTGGTTTTTCACTTACGAAATTAGACACTTAAATCTAGATAACTGAATCCTTACAAATACAGTACAAAAACGTAGTAGTCCTATGTTTGATTCTTTCATGATCTCTAGAATAATCTGTGTGATATTTAGAATGGAACATCTCTTGAGGTGGTAATCAAACACTAAGAACTCTTGTTCTCCCATCAGTTTTCACATAGATGTCAGCCACTTCATTATATTGAAATTCAAATGAACTCATCAGGGATTAGGCAGACTTAATCCTAAATCTTGAAGAAAATTCAGAATGACATTGCTGACAAAAATGTCTAACTCAGATATTTTATCTTAGAAGGGCTTTATATGGATAAATATCATGGAATTATTTTCTTTACTTTTTAAATAAATGAACAGTTCATGATAAACTTAATATAGTTATATCACTTTTAGTATAAACTTTTTTTATGTCACTTAAATTTAGAAAAAGCTTCCAAGACTCATCTCTCTCTCTCTCTCTCTCTCTCTCACTCACACGCGCTCACACACACACACGCGCGCACACACACGTACACATATTCATAAGAAAGAACGGGTGTGTTTACCAAAGGAAATGATAATCTGGGGAAAGGAGAAGCAGATAAATCTTTGGAATAATGTTGTGAATAGTATGACCATATTTTAACACTATGAATATAGTGCATAACTGTATGAATATATGCATAATGAAGCATATGCTGATATTTTGAGAGTACTGATTAATGCAAGAGTATTCCTAGACTTACATAGTAGTCCATGCAAAGAATAAATTACAGATGACGACTGAATTAATCAAATCTTATATAAAAATCATGTTCATTTTAACATAATTTAACAAAAGTAATGTTGACTTAATTACCTTTACATAACTAATGAAACTTTTTTTTAAATGTTTAATATCAAGATGGGATAATGTAAGTGGCAGTTAGACTTCAGTAAAGAAAGCCTTGCTGTGGTGTCACATTAAGGGTTTTTTTTTTTTCAATTTACTGTCATGATGTATTAATTGTAATATTTGAGGATGGTTTAAAAATAATATCTATTGATCAGTTGACACAAAAGGTGAAGGGGAACTGTATAGTGATAAATGAATATAATGCCTACTCTAGTTTTTGAAGTCTGTGGAAGGTCTGATGCATGTAGTATCTGCTGCCAAAATGTTATTTCCAAACCACTGTTTGGAGTATGTGCAGTTAGGGAATTTAATTCTCCTGAAAATGCTGGTGCTGTTTGAGCTATCTAAAACGTTTTCTCTATTGTAAGAGCTAAAGTAAATGGCTTGCCAAACTTCAGTTAATTTCATTTATACCAAGTCTTCCCTGCTGTGTTTAATCTTACAGCTGGTTACAAAATATATTGCATTATTGTAATTTTCCCCCACAATATTTTATTCTTTGCTATATGGAATGTACATTGAATCAAAAGAGTATAAACAAGTTCCAAACTATATGATTGTGTGTTATTCCAGTCATGTGTACCCTTTGTGGTACAGAAAACATGAAATATACACCAAGAGTATTTGTTACATTCACACCAAAATTATAATGAATATATTGCCTTGTTTGACTGTTGGTAATGTCTTCAGCTGAATACCGGGTAATACAAACTTTCTCCTCCTTTTTACTTTCTTCTACTTCTAAATTTATACAATACAGCTGGATCAACAGCCTTATTATGATCTCCTTTAGAATGCCATTTTATTTTTCTTCCTATATTTGCTAAAGATCTGCTCCCGGAATTTCTGCTTTTGACCTCCATCACAACTCATGCCTTCTTTGTGTGTACTCATTTGTATAATCTTTTTTGTTCTCTTATTTGTAAATCATTCCTCTCTCTTTGGAACTTTCTTTTGTTCAATGGGTTTGCTTATCACCACCTTTTATTTTCTGGTGTACTCTGACACTAAAGTAATTTTGTGTGACTCCTGTCTTCAGCCTGATCACCTAGTAAGTTCCTAGAGGATTCCCATTTTTTTCCCCCATTTTAAATGCCCAATTCTTAAACTAGATCTTCAAAGACTGAAGAGCTATCCTTAAGTGCCTATTTTAATAGATTGTAGTTTTCTTCCATTTTTAATGCTATATTGCTATAAATTATAAACTATTTTGATATTATAAATCAGCAAAGATCCTTACTTAGTCTAAAAAATATGGAAAAAAAGCCCAATTCCATCATATTGCAGAACTTTTGGAAAAGGCATTTGCAGAACTCCTCCCAGCTTCCAGGATCCTATCTTGCCCTTATTGTCTAGGGTTCCTCTCTTGAACAACACGCTTCATATGTTCCTTACATTATTTTTTCTTTACAGCTGCTATTGCCGCACCCTGCTACAAGTTTTGATTACATTGCTACACTTCAGCCATTCTTTATTCAGTGGAAAAGAATATATTCATTTTATTAATGACTTATATTAAATTTAAGACATTGTAATGTTTGCATTTTGATTTGGTCCACTGTAGTATTAAAATATTAGTTAATTATTACTGTGAATCTTTATTGAAGCATATTGTCTCCTTTAAATGAATATGAATTTTCTTTTGAAAAAATACCTGGTTTGTTTTCTCAGAAAAAACATTTTATGCTTTTGAACTATGTTAAAAATAGTATTAGTACAGATTGGGCTTCCCTGGTCCAGCACCACTGAGATATGACCAGTTCTGAATGAGAAAATTTGACAGACCAAGGGAGGTGGTCTGCCACCAGCCCCCAAATCCATCTCCTCCTGCTGCTGGCAGGCCCCAGTAGGCACCCTGCTTTGCCCTCCCCACCAAGCTCACTGTCCTGCTTCCCCATCTGCTGCTGGCTCCCTGGATGATACAGGCTCTGTCCCTGTGCATCGGGGGACAGCCATGGGGCTTCAGCCCCTTGCTATAGGAGGCTGCCAGGGGACTCTGCCTCTGTGCTGCTGTGGGACTCCAACTTCAGCCCTGGGAGCTGCCACGATGCCCCAGACCAGGGCTCCAGGGGGCTGCCAGGAGTCTCCAGCCCCGCACTGCCATGGGGCTTTGGCCTCAGCCTCACATTGCCGTGGACTGCTGTAGACTAGTGTGGGGCTCCAGCTATAGTCCTGCACTCCCCCCAGCCAGGCTGCCAGCCCTGTTGCCTCAGGCCAGCCTGGCCCTCCTGCCCTTCAGGCTCGTGGGCGCTCTGGTCCAGGAGTGCCAATTTTCAGAGGTACAACCTGTAATAGCTATTGGAAAACCAAAACATGAAGTAAGAACGACTAGTTTTAAATAATAGTGACTAAGCCCTATAAAACAGTGGGATATTCTAGTAATAAAAATACAAGACAGATGATGAAAAATAAGTCAAAAGATGTAATGTCTATTCTACACAACTAAAGTTTTGCATACAATTAAGGGCCCCATAAAGGTTTTTTCCAGGCCTTAAGGTTTAACAAAAAGTAAAGATATTAATATAGCTTTGAATATTTTCCTCTTAATTTATAAAGTTTAACTATGTGCATTTTTTTCACTAGTCTTGTGGCTTTTGTTACCACGATTGAGGAGAGTTTGTGTGTTACCACACAGAACCTTTAGGCTATAAGCAACTAAAGCCAAATTATCTTCAAAGAGAGTTGCTTGCACCTGAGCGTGGCATGCAGCCCTTAGCTTTAAGGTTTCCTTGATTAAAAAAATAGAGGTTTATAACTGGATTTTTTATTTAGAACTGCGGGGTGATTATAATTTGCATTCATAATACATATCGTTTTTCTGCCTCTAAATGAAGCAGGATTTAGAAGTTACCATAAGTTCTGGAAAAAGAACTTCTTAAAAATCCTTTATTTTCTACTATTTTTATAAAAAATAATAGTAGTAGTTTATGTATCTTTGTAACCTTCATAAAATACACACATATATTAGTGTTGGTTAGCAGTTCAAAAATGTTTATTTTCATATCTGAGCAGCCCTTTGTGGTTCTGTTTGGTTTTTGTTTCTCATGTGTCTATGAAAATAGTAAATGTAAAGGTTACACTCTGGTCTATCCAAGTTCTTGAGCTTGCAGTTTTCCTAAGAAATTAGTCTGCTAATGTCAAATGATGATTTTTATAAATACAGCGTTCACATATCTTTGTAAGAATGCTAAATCTTGTATAGCTTGTAATATGACAATATAATCACACAATGCAAATATTTATGCCTGGCTATAGATGAATATGTTTATTAAAATTTTTAAAAAACTTGTATGCATGTTTCTTCACATAGTGTTACTTTACAGGAAAAAGTAGTACATTCTTTCTAAAAAAACTAGAATGTTTCTTCTCTTTCTTGTTGCTTTGCATTTGATCTCCAAAAAGTTATACATTTTTCATTAATTATTGATTTACATATGTAATGATTCCACCGTGCCACAAAGAAGAGTGGTTCTGCTGTATTGTATTTTCAGTAAGCAACCAATCACTGCATAATTAAACATGCTTTCCAGCAATAGATTACATTTTCCTAATTTCTCAACTGTTGTTTAATTTTTACTGAAGTTTGACTTTCCTATTAACCAAGACAGTTCAGTTCTATAAGAATATACCTGATGTCTCATCTATTAAGTAAACTACTGAAAAAAATCTATCTCTGGGAGATCAACTGAATGCAGCAATTCACCATTTTCATTTTTAAACATCTGTGATTTTGGGGGGGAAATAGGGAGACCTTCTTTGTACTTTACCTCACGTGTTGTCAGCATTTATCTTTGAGGCTATTTTTGAGGCCCCTTAGGGACCAGCCTAGAAGCACCCATAGAGGGGCAGTGCTCACGCCTCTTAGCCATAGCCTTTCCTCTAGCTACTTGAGGTGGCACCACCCCAGTGTCCCTCAGCACCTTCTTATCTCTCCCCCATGCCTAGAGTTGGAGATCTGCATGGTCTTTACGAGGGATGTAATAGTGTAGTCCATTAACCAATAAGCAAAAGTTTATAGGTTAATGCAATAGACGACACACATTTCCCTCAACCCCCTCCCTCCGCCAATCAATTTTCTAGCAGGCTACCCAGCCCAACTCATCCCTAGCTTGCACTGGGTCTGGGATCTACCCCTGCTGTGGCTCTGCATTTAAAGCTCAGTTCCAGCTAGTGCTAGGTCCAGGAGCTGAGACCCTCCTGCCTCCTCCCCCGCCCCCAACAGGGGTTGCTACTGCAGACCAGCTCCTGCCTGGCACCCTTCACTGCTACCTCTGATACAGTGGCTTGCCCACAAGCTTAGAGTCTGTCTAATTGCCATATTTGGATCGGAAAGGAATTATCCCCCAGGTTAGACTGGATAGAGATTGTTGGGGGAGGAGAGGTGGGTTTGCCTTCCTCTGCAGCATGGGTCATGTTTAAGCTAGTGTAAATGGTGAAATCTCTCTATCTTAAAGTCTTTAACCATAATTTGAGAATTTCAGTGACTCAGCCAGAGATTGGACTCTTTGAGGTCTGGGTGAGGTTATCCGATGGCTATGCTTCTTGCAGGAGAAAACAACATAGTTGCTGATAATCTGAGTAGAGACCTCCCAGATTTGTGAATGGTTCCCTGAATGATCAATTGACTCAGACCATATTCTCCAGTTGGAGTTGATGAGATGCAGATCTGTTCAAATAGGGTCAATAAAAAGTGTTGCCTCTTCTGCTCCTGTTTGGGCAAG